GAGGAGGAGGGTGGACAGAGGACGCGTGTGTGGTGTGTGTGTGTGTGTATGTGTGTGTGCGTGCGCGTGTGTGCGTGTGTGTGGTGTGTGTGTGTGCATGTGTGTGTGGTGTGTGTGTGTGGTGCGTGTGTGTGCGTGTGTGTGTGCGCGTGTGGGGGGGATGTGTGTGTGTGTGCGCGTGCATGCGTGTGTGTGCGCGTGCATGCGTGTGTGTGTGGTGTGTGTGTGTGCGTGTGTGTGTGGTGTGTGTGTGTGCGTGCGTGTGTGTGTGGTGTGTGGAGTGTGTGTGCGTGTGTGTGTGCATGCGTGTGTGTGGTGTGGGGTGTGTGTGTGCGTGCGTGTGTGTGGTGTGTGTGTGTGCGTGCGTGTGTGTGGTGTGTGTGTGTGCATGCGTGTGGTGTGTGTGCATGCGTGCATGCATGTGTGTGTGTGTGTGTGTGTGTTGGGGCGGGGGGTGTGAATCGGAGAGAGTGGGTAGAATCAAAGAGGACAAGGAAAAAGGATGTAGTTGGTGAAGAGACTGAGCTAGCAAAGAGAGGCAGAAAAAAGTGAAAAACAGAGTGAGAGAAGACAAAGGAGTGAAGAGAAGAGGAAAGAATAGAAGAGGAGAAAGGGACAGCCATTGGATGAGAAGAGGGTCCACTGGCTTCTCTCCTCAGGGTGACATTAGGCCTACATCATCAGACTTTTCAGATGAGGGCTTTGACCTCTGGACTGACACCCTCCCACGGGCGTGCATTCTAGCCATTCATGCCACTGAAGAAGTGTGCTGATGTGGATTGGGTCCCCCAAGTTTTATGTATTCGTGGCTTTATCCCCACTGTGACTGTTAAGAGGGAGGGAGATCCTATTATGGTAATTGAAAGGTGGGGCCTCGAAGAGGTGATGAGATTGTAGGACGATGCCTGGTGAATGGATTGATAATGGTGGTCAGGGGCGTGGTTCTCAGAAGGAGAGCACATGAGAGTCTCTTGTCTCCTCTGCCATTTTCTGCCATGTGAGACCCCTGCATTGCTATAAAGCCATGCAAAGAAGACCCTCACCCAATATGCTCCCTGGACTTCAGACTTCACAGCCACTGAAACTGTACGCAATAAATTTCATTTTCTTAGACATTACCCAGTTCCAGGTAGTTCGTTATCAGCAACAGAAACAGACCAATACATGTGCTCAGAGATCCAACACTGCACTGTACAGAGTTCTTCTTCCCAGGTGATTAGGAATGAGCTATTGCTACAACAGTAATAACGAATGAGGGCCTCATCACAGTTAGGAGCATACAGAATGGCTTCTGTCAACTGAGGAAACCTCAAACAGTAAAACCCTTTCACCCTAAGACCTCAAACTGATGCCCATTAAAATGATCCAAACAAAAGTTACCTGATACAGTTCAATCCGTTGTTCAGGCACTCTGGCTTTTGGGTTCTGCAAACGAAAGACTCTGAACTCCGCTTTTACCAAATTGGAAGCATTCTTCTCCATTGCTGAGACATCAAATCGGACAATCCTGAAGTAGGGTCTGTAGAACGTGGGCGGGATGGCATCTGCAAAAAGTTAGGGCAATCATTGAAAATGATAAAATCCACTGTGCTCCAAGACAGCATGAGATAGTCCCAAGAAACCATAAGGGAAATATCTCCAGAAGAATTTCGTTTCCAATAGCCAATTTAATACCATTAACAATTTAAGCAGGAAAAAAAATTAAAATCAACATGTGCGTTTGGTTACAGGAATAGCAGATTAATAGAGATTAACAAACCACTTCCAACTACATTTGAAGGCAGGCAGTTAACCCCCTATCCTTTGAAGGTTGACAGAATGATGGAAAACTCTAAATGGTTATGAATTGGAACACATTCATGACAGTTGATGCCTGGAGAGAGCTGTCAGGCTTGCATACACTTTAATCAGGTGTGCCAAGAAAATAGCTCCTAATGGTAAGCAGCTTGCCCGTGTAGTTTTTTCCTCGAATGTTTCATGTCCAAATACTCTACTTTTATCCAGGCTCATGCATTGCATCTTTTTTGGCTTCACTATTCTGTTTTCTCACACACATATGACCAAATACACTCTCTAGTCATGTTATGGTGAGGAAATCTGAATAAATAAAACTACACCCACATACTGGTTATACCAGGTCCAGTCTCAAAATTCTTTATTCAAGATAATATATGTTGGCAGGAGGTAATTCTAGCTTATAAAGAGAAAAAATAAGCCCAAATGCCTTCAGTTCTAAACCATGTAAAACACAGAGTTCTAGAGAGTACACAATAATTTCGAGCTTATAGGTTGCTTAGGGTTTTGCTGTTATTTTTCAGTAATCTGACAGAGCCTCCAAATATGTGACTGGGGCTATACTAACATCAGAACAGGTCCTTTCCTACCCCCGTGCTTTCATATACAACATTCTTTATTGATCACCTACCCAGGCAGACCGCTTGTCACAGGTATGTTTCTACAATCTTCTTCCAAAATCTCCTGCAAACTTACTTTCTCTATTCCAGAATGTTCCATCCAGTCCTGGTCTCATTTCTTTCTACCCTCTCTTCAATTATGTAGCTTCATTACAACATCATCATTCACAGTTGTTATGTTTCTTCACAAATGTTTTTATAACCTCTGCATTATGTTTGTTTATTTTATTCTCCCCCAGGAAATTTTAAGAATCTTGAGGGCAAAGACTCTATTTGCCAGGTCTTTTTTTTTTCCCCCACAGATCTAGGACAGGGCTCTGCATACATGCAGTTTACCAAATACTCACTGTTTGCACAGTTGGTCATCAATAGGAGTTTTGAAAGACTCAGGCATCTGGCTACTGGAACACTAACTTATTAAATAAACGAGTCATCTTACTGATCTTAAAATAGAAATAAATACCTTTCGTGATTTCTTGGGAAATCCATGCCCTTACGATTACACTGGGAAAAAAGATCTATGAACACACTAACGTTTGCTCATCTTAGGAGCTCTGCATTTTCCCCCTCACAGGGGCGTCTCCCATCCCTTTCCCCATGTACTTGTGACTCTCAGAAAGCAGGCTATGGAGAAGCAGTGAATTTCAAGCCAAGCTCTCTGCTCGATGCTGCTTCATAAAATGACTGAATTGAGACCTTGTAGCCCGTGAACCAGAAGTCTCAGAAACAAACAAACAAACAAACAAAACCCCAAAAATCCAAAGCATGCAGGTTTCAGAGAAAAGGAAGTATTCATGCAGACACAGTGAATACCCACGGCATCACCCCTGTGAAATAGTTGGTGGGCAGTTTTCAGGCTGGCAAACACTGGTACAAGCAGAAAGGTTTTTGGAGTCCCCTAGCATAGCAGTTTGAAAAGGCAGATGCTGAGAAAAAAAAATAGATGTTCTTCTCCGGAGGCTGGAATATGCCCACCCCAGTGACTGGAAAGGCTAATACTATGCTGATCAGCTCAGCTGAGCACAGGCGGGATGCCCAGACCAAGACGCCTGGGCAGGGCTGCGGCCCGGCTCTCCGGCTTAGCATACCGTCTTAGCCAGAACCTTCCACAGGCCAGGAGGCTGCATTCATCTTCCCATGGCCTCTGCATCAGACAGCAGAAGCTTCAAACATCGTTTGAAAGAGCATCCTGGAAGAGCAAAGCTGATTTAGTGCTTTTCCCGTCGTTAGGAAGAATAAACATCTCGTTCATTTTGCCCTTGTCTTTTCGTGGAACCCCATAGGCCTCTTCTGCTCCCACACACACCCATCTCTCACACCCACCCACCGCAACCTTATCCTTCCCTCAAGTTTGTAAATAAGAGCTCTCGAGATTTATTTTTATTCTCTTTTGTGTTTATTAAACTTTGAACAATTTTTTCTCCCTTTCTGGTCTCCTGCCCATATGCACGCTTTCTTTTTATGGCTGCCTCAGACCATGAGGTCAATTTTGTTTCTTCTTCTTCTAAGTAAATCATCCAAGGATCCTGTCCTAGGCATTTGAGCTTTGAAGGGACATTTACAAATATTTACAGGAGTGGCTTGATAGTTAAGTACAGTCCTTCTGCTCTGCTCCCTATACATTGGCAAACAGCCCTCCTCCCCTCTGGCACTTATAACTATTTAGGCTGTTTATATTTCAACTGCCTGATAATACAAATCTGCATTTTTGGTTCTTGTTTTATGAGTAGAGCAGTTAATGCACAAAGAAAAAGGACAGCTGAGCAGCCCCCACCAGCGACTCTCCTCTGGCTGTAGCCGCCGTGAAGCGACCGGGCCAGGAGGACCCGGCAGCCTCCCCCACGCCTCTGCTCCAGCACAATAAACACTGTTGACCAAAGAACTGACTACCACTTCCAAGGGTCCGTCCCAGCTGTCCCCTGCTATCATCTGCTACTGAGCATTATGCCAAATGTCTCCTCATTTGGACAAAAAAAAAAAAAAAACCTCACTGTCATTTGCTCTGGCCTAGTCTGTGACCCTGCCCTTACTTCATAAACGCTTTCGGACATGTGGTGCACAGGAACCAAAGGAGGCCTTGCTACACCCAGCCAGGCCGCGGCAGGCTCGCCCCTCAGCCCCTAGTGCCAGAGCAGCAGGGTAGGTGTGTAAGGCTGTGCAGCTCTGATCCACCCACTCAGCCTGGGAGGGATGGAGCTTTTTCCTCTGCTTCCTCCAAGAGCTCACTTCCCGCTCTGGATGGGAGTTCTCTCTCAAGTCCTCTGTAATTCCAGTCCCAGTTCCTGTTCCATTGCCAGGCAGTCAGGTACTTGTGCTTGATCTCTGCCAGCCTAGCCACATTCACATCCTGGCCCGCTCCTTCCTCTCAGTTTCTGACCCACTTTTCAGTTCAATCAAATCGATTTTCCTCCAGCCCTTTGGATTTCAAACCAGCGAGCTGACTCTGGTCCTCCAATTCTTTCTCATGCGCCTTCCTCACAGGGGAAATCTTGACATAGAAGATTCCAGCACGTCATCAAGTGACTGGTTCCCCCTCCCCTCCACCCTGGCCACACACCCCTGCTACATCAAATTTTAGGGAATGGAGAGAGAGAAAAAAAATGAGGAAATCTAACTAGGCATTAATTTACAGTATACAGAAACAGTATACAGAAAGCCTAAATATAGCCCTTAGACATATACTACTCTATAAACATTATATGTTGACTTGTATCAGTTCCAAATAATTTATTAGCTTATTGCATATCATCTTTTCCCTGTGTTAGCACCTCCAGCTCAGAAATCTTTACTTCTGGCTCTTTGGTTCCTTGCAGCCCATGGCTGGCTTCATGGGCAAGTGACCAGTGCA